GAACTCCAAGAGATTTTTTTGTTTCAGAAACACTTTTACAGCTCTTACTGCAACACAAAAAGTCATGTAAGTGCCGGGGATTAGAGGTGTTTTTAGAGAGTAACATACGCATACAAAGAAATGAAGGAGAAAAGATAAGGAAGATGTTTTATAGGAAAGTAAGAGCAAACCACACTAGAACAGCCACCAACCACCCACTCCGTGAATTCGACAAAGTAAAAAGTGAAGAAAACCCATTCCTTGGCCTACTGCAGAGTAATGTTTACCTACGATTTGCTTCCTGTTGTTGCTGATTTTTTGGGATTTTTTAAAAAGAATTGTTTTGTTTTGTTTTTGTTTTTGTTTTTGTTTTTGTTGGTTTTGATTTTGGTTTTGATTTTGGTTTTAGTTTTTAGTTTTCTTGATGTTTTCGTCTTTGCTTTTGTTTTTGTTTTTCTAGCTGGTCTGTTCAAACAAATAACCTTTTATTTTCAATGTTGGGTCAACATTTGACCTCTAAATGTTTTGTTGTTTGTTTTTTTAACGTTTTAAAAAAATATTCAGACCTCCTTGACCTCATCACCTTCTTGTTTACAAAAAGATTCATAAAAGGTTAAAGATTGACTTTGAAATGACCGTACTGTCATACATTTTCCTTAAAAAATCAACAGCCCTCCCCCCTCCCCCCACTTTGATTTGGGGTTCATTTTTCAAAGGGTTGGGTTCCTGGTACCTATAGTTTTGTGAGCTTAGTTTTAATAATGATAATACAGTCTTGCAGACCTGCTGTTTGAAAAGTTCAATGTGTTTGTTGTGTTATTTTGAAGAGATCTGCGGGAAGCAGGTGGAAATGTGGTTACAATAATAATATGGTGTGAAAGATGTGTCAACGTCATAATTATTCGTATTTTCCTTCACCGTGGTATAACCAGTTTAAAATGTACAATTTTTCATAACAGATCATGCTTATTTTGTGTATTTTCTCCTTATAAAAGCCAAGAAAGCACAGTCCTGAATGTGTATATAATGTTTATTTAGCTGAATTCCACTGTACATTTAGTTGCAATATTGGAACTAGTATTTCTGTGTAATATTTTCAAAATGGCTGCCGTATGGTACAAAACAACACTGTTTTGCTGTGTGTCATTTTTGTTTCTGCAATTTTGGTGTCTGCCTCTGTGAAATAATGTTTGATAAATAAAAGAACAATTGTTTGAAAAGAAAAGCGGGAGGGGGGGGGGGATTCTGAGAGGTCCTGTCTTGATCCTTAAACGACTACGTCACTTATGTGAGAAATTGTACATTGTAGTAGACTTGATTTATAATATACTAGACCATGCACTCTTTTGGCCCCTCCTCTGGGCTTCTGACTCTTTTTGCAGCCTTTCTACTGCTACTCTTTGACTCCTTCTTACTGCTGTCTTTCACCCACACTCCTGGTCTTCTAGTGGGAAAGATCTTCACCTACCCTTCACGGACAAGGGCAAAAAATTTCGGAGGGCCCGTGTGCAAGTTGCGCACGTTAAAGATCGCTTAGTGATCTAAAATCGATATGAGTAGGCATTGACCGATACAAAAGCAAAATTCAAAATGTCCTACCAACTAAAAATGTTGGGTGTGTCCCACGAGTTCACTTAACCTTATGCAGTTGCGAGTGCTGTAAAACACTTACCTACTTTTTCTTCTTCTTCTTCTTCTTCTTCTTCTTCTTCTTCTTCTTCTTCTTCTTCTTCAGTTAATACTATGGTCCATCTTTATTTATGAAACTGTAGAGAGCACAAACTAACAATGTGATCTGTCGGTACACATGAGACTTGATATGATTTAATGCCCGTCTTTGAGCCTATATACATGGCAGCGTAGTTGTAAAACAAATCCAACCACTCCCTCTTATTAAAAACAACAACCCAAAACAGCATCATTAGAATCGAAAGTTGGAAAAAAAATCCCGAAAAGACCAAAACTAAAGAAACAAAAAAAACAACAACTAACCAAAACCAAAACAAAAGTACAAAAAGAGAATAAAAAGATTGCTTGACCTATTAAAGTACTCGTGTTCTATTTTTGAAAATGTCCAATTTGAGACTTTGACGTTCAAAAGACGTTACTTTTCTATCTATCTATCTATATATCTAGATTGTAAAAAATTGTAGTAGTAGGGGTGAGTTTTCTTCGCACCTACACTAATTAATTAATTTTGCAGGCGTTGCGAGTACCAAAAACCCTCCTCCCCCCACCGTTTTCTCAGCAGGTAAGAAATAAAGATATAGACCCTGCTAGGATTCAGCCCTTGACCCTTCACGTTATTGTATCATTATAATATTCACATATTATTATCAAATAATTATTTGATAATATTTTTTCTTGTGGAATGTTGGCGAGTGTTATGGAGTGGCTCACTCCTTCTTTCTTTTCAAACATATATTGTCTTTATTGACACTCCTCCTTCTTTTCGTTATGTGTTACAGTCTATTAACATCTCTAGAAGCCTGCACTCATTTGACCTATTTTTGTTGCAAGTACCGTAAAACTTGCACTTAAACTAAATCCAAATTTAATAAGTTTGCACCTTACTACGACACCTTCACAGATAAGCGCGATGTTTTTATCAGGAAGAGTAAACACTTTCATTGACGTCATCAATAGGAGTGTACTTGACCAAATCCCTGCAAGATCAAGGTAAAATGATTTACCATAGAGGAAATGAACTTCAGTAAAAGCTTTCTGAACCTCTGATAAACTGCGCATGTCCGAATCATGACCACATCCGGCGCTTTCACGTGACACCCCAAGTCTTCTTCCCACCGTTCCAAAATGTCTCCCGGGTAGGTCAAAACTTCGTGACCTAAACATCATCCAACACTTCCCAGAGAAGCCAACATCGACTACCCTTCTCCGGACACCAAACCACCTTGTTATTCGCAAAACTGTCTCATTTCTGACCGCAGGCTATCATTGACAAGGCCCGGGGACTCAGCGTCATTAGCCGTACCCCTGACAACGAAGGTTCGCGCCCGTATAGATTTCCCCTGGAAAGTTTGTCCCCTAAACTGTTAGGGCATCCGTAATGGCTTGTCTTTGGGTGTGGGGTTCAACATCAAAGGGCGATAACGTAAGCAAAGATTAAGGAGAAGTCTCGACACGAATTGCACCTTCATTTTGTTTTGGGGTATTATGCTAAGGTGCGAAGAGATTGGCGTAGCTTCTGGAAGGTGTTCGCGAAAAGTTAAGCCTCTTAGTCTCAGGGATAAGCCTTTAAGTCTAAGGGATATTTCACTTGGCTTTCGTGGAGGTGTCTTTGTTTGAACAACATCTGGCGAGGGAGAAGGATCGCGTGTGGAATTATGACAGAAGTCAATTAACTATGTCATACTTACAAACGTTTCGAGGAAAGATTTGGTGGCAGTGATTACTGCTGGTGATTGAGGAGGACACCATTTGTGTGATACGCTGAGTTGTTTGAAAGAATTTTCTTTGTTTCTCCAGATATCATTCGAAGTAAGTAATGGGATATAAGAATGGTTTCGATGATGATGATGATGATGATGATGATGATGATGATGACGACGACGATGATGTGGATGATGATGATGATGATGATGATGATGATGATGATGATGATGATGATGATGATGATGATGATGATGATGATGATGATGATTTTTGAAATGTTCCTGATGAAGCCGTAAGGCGAAACGTTGTGCGTATTATATAATATTTTGAAAATCCTACCAAGTCTCAACCTTGTTTATTCTCTAATTACGATGATGATGGTTGGCCAGTAATTAGCAACTTAAAAAAAACAAACAAGAGTGTGAACGTTGTAAAACTTTGACAGCAGTTTAGTTTTGATAAGAATTTAACGGCACTTGCAATACAAATAGATTCTAAAAGTAAGGCATTGAGAGCACACTTTTACCGACTCGTGGACAGTTGGACCGATGCTCTGTTTTAGTTTGCTCCTTTCCCCCCATCAAACTTCTCTCGGTCTGAAGTCTCCTTCTTTTCTTGGTATTTTGTTACTCTATAGCAACACCTCTCAACTTCGGCACTATACATGTACGTCTTATTTGTGTCGCAAGTGCTGTAAAACTAAAACCAAAACTAATTAAACTTGCATTTGCACTAATGTTTTTAATGCTCACTTTGTCAACCACTGTTTTGTTTTAAAAGCTTGCTGTTCGTCTTTTGAGGGTGGTCAAATAAAAATTAAAATACATACCGTTGGTAGTCTACAAATAATTTAATCGCACTCAGAATGACATTTCTGAAGCAAATTAGTTCAGCTTTTCGATTTTCTTTAGGTCACAAGTTGCAAAGGCTCCTCCAGCTACACCTTTGTCTTTCAATGAATTAACTGGATTGTGTTTATTCCATTGGATTGAATTACCACTGTCACTTGAATGGTGAAAGTAGACATGGATTTAAAGTTGTTCCCGCATCCGGTCCGGACATTGGGGATTGCATTGTTAGTGAGACAACTTCCTGCGCCTTCGGCATATTGTGGTAGGGTGGCCAGTTCCTTTCCACGCCGCCTTTATTTCCCCAACTCGAAGTCAGGTACTCATTACTGCTGGGTGGGCAGGAGGGGGCGGAAAAAATCCGTGTCCGAACCGAGGCTCGAACCCGGACTTTCCGACTAGCGCACTAACTGTTCCGCCACCACACTCTCTAGATTAAATTCATAATATTCATCTTCCTCCCCCCCTCCCTCCCCGTAAAAAAGCATAGATAGACTGAATCGTCAGAGATAAAGTAGTTAGGGTTTTAGTTTTAGTTTTTGTCCGAGTTTTACGTTACCTAAAGCACAAATGACTCTTACTATATGAACCGAATATTAGAGGTGTTACTAGAGAGTAGCATGCAAGGGAAAAATGGAGGGAAAGGTATGGACATAATATGTTAAATAGAGAGGAAGGAGCAAACTAGACCAGAGCACCCGCCAACCACACACTATTAGTTAAACAGCATAGGCTCTGACCGAGAACCAAGCAGCATCGGTATGACCCTTTCAGACAGGCAACCGCTGGCGTGGCTCCTTGAAACCCCCCCCCCCTCCAAAAAACAAAACAAAAAAATTTTGCCGGCTAAGAACGCAGAGCTTTGCAATGCATGTCAACAATGGTGTTTATAAGCAATTTGATTTACGTTGCGCAATATTGTAATCTTTGCAAAAAGAAAGATTTTTTAAAGTAAAGAAAAAGAGATAAACAAATAGATAAATAAACAGATGATAAAGCCGGAATGACAAAACATAATACGTCATTGCCCGACTTTTGTCGACTCTCCGCTTAATTAGGCCATACTCTCATTTTGTTCTAAAATATGTCATCAACAGCCGTGATGCAACTGATCAAACTATACTAAGTTAAAAGAGCAATCTACATTAAACTTTGAGCCAATCTGGAAAAGAATACAAAAATATATACCCCCCCCCCTCTCACTCTCTCTCTCTCTCTCTCTCTCTCTCTCTCTCTCTCTCTCTCTCTCTCCCCCCCTTCAACCGAAAAAGAAAATTTAGTAAAATTTGAAAAAGTGTCTGACCTAATTTGGCAGATACCCTGTTGATGTCGGACACTGGAGAATAGCCTTTCATTGATTTTGATTATTACATTTTTCCTTTCTCAGATTTCGATAAAAAACAACAACAACAACAACAGCAACAATGAGGAGAACGTTTTGTTTCGTCCTGGCGTTGAGTGTGGCGTTATGGTGTCGTCTCACCACCGCCAGCCACCCACACAACACAGCTCACAGAAGCTCTAGCCACGCCCACAATTCCGCACTCACCAACAGCTTTCAACACAACGCACACCCCGCATCCAGCCACACCTATCCAGCAGCCAGTCACGCCCACCGTTTAGGGTCTTATGTCCCGCCCATCTATCCGACACGTCATCTCCTTCCATTGCCCGCCGTTACGTCAGGATCCTATGAGCACCAGAGCCAGGAAACTCAAACTCGCGACTCTCACTGGAACACCTTTTCGTGGAAACCTTTATTAAAAAGTTTTATGACAAGTCTACGTTTTAATCCCAAGACTGTTAAAATAATCCAAATAAGAACAGATTCTCCAATCCTCAATGCAATATTATTTGACATATCACCAAATCTCAACTCAGACCAGCCACTACAGAGAGATATTGAATATTCACATTTCATTGGAACAAATATTGGAAACATTCCCCCTGCCGCAGAAAAACCATACACCTACCTTTCAAATCAGCCACTATACCCGACTGACCAAGAACAATACACTGGGCCGTCAAGATTTGATAATTCTCACACAGTAAACGAGAAAACCGAAAGTAAAAACACAGAACCTAGCTCGCCTGTACAAAGACAAAACAGCCCAGTACACTGGCAAGCCAAGAACGAAGTATCCAGACATCGCAGAGACACCGCCAGATCACCTATCTCAGCTGTTGCTGGGGTGTTTCGGAACAGTTTCCGACAGCCCCGAGGCGGTGCTGACTCTGCCATCGGGGAATGGAACGTTAACAATCCGGACAAAAGATTTTTGGTGCGCGAAGGAGGCTTTAGAAGTGCCAGGTAAGTTATGGTAGTGTTGACATCTTGCCATAAGTGACCGATTAAGATACTTGAATTATAATATTAGGGACTTGAACATCTGGATATGACTAGTAGAACTGAAGGGGAACGATGCATGGGTGGACCAAGGGTAAAGTTGTTCCCACATCCAATACGGACATTAGGGATTGCATTGTTAGTGAGACAACTTCCTGGGCCTTCGGCATATTGTGGTAGGGTGGCCAGTTCCTTTCCACTCCGCCTTTACTTCCCCAACTCGAATTCAGGTACCCTTTACTGCTGGGTGGGCAGGAGGGGGCGAAAAAAATCCGTGTTCGAACTCAGGCTCGAACCCGGACTTTCCGCTTCGGAGACCAGCGCACCAACTGCTCTGCCACTGCACCCAGAGTAACTTACTGTAAAAGCCTGAAAAGAAGGGTACCAGAGAAATTACAGGATAATAAAATTGTTTTTAATTTTTTAGAGTTCTTTAACAAATCAATGATTGGCGAACCATGATGGCATATGTCTGTCTCAGATCTGGCACTCTATAGTGGTGACTAAAAAATGTCATGATTTTCGTGACTGCTGAGATAATAATATTATAGTCATGACAATTTATTGGCATCTTACCATGAGCTTGTTATAAGATTGAACTGGGCTTAGATCTCTGTGCACAGAGACCCATGAGACAAAATATATCGTCGACTCTATAATATTGTTTTGTTGGCACAGTAGAGGTCAGTCTTCGAGTAAGACCAGGGCAGTTGTTTGGTTCTTGTCTTGCATGCAGAAAACCTGAGTTTTGATTCTCAAATCGTGCCTCTAGAATGATAGCGTTCTAACTCAATTGCCAATAGTTTTGAGAGAATAGGATCTAAAAATTCACACTTTAATGGCTTAAATGTTTTTACTCCCCATTTGTTAAATTGAAAAATAGCAACAAAAAATCGCAAAGAAAACAAAAGAAAAATAGAACCCCCCCCCACC